CCATAAGATCTTCTATTCCCAATAAAGTGAAATCCGAGAATCCTTCGAAATCTAAAATCTAAAATAATTATAAATTTCGTATTCTCAGATTCCCCACCATATTTCAAGGCCCACCACCACCCCAAATTAAATATGTTCCAGAAAGACGAAACAATTCCCATAAATTAAAATTAATAAAAATAAAACGAATCTCCATAATATAATATCATCGAAAGAAAAAACCTATAATTTTAAAAGAACATCTAATTCCCAAAAGATAAATCATACATATCATTCCTCTTAGAATATTTATTTTCTCCTAAATTATAATCAGAAGCATTCATACACCCTCCTTACATTGAAAAAAAAAAACGTACGAATCATACCATTTTTGAAAATTATTATTACTTGTGAATTAAAGATTCTTTTCTTTTAATTCCCAATCTTCTATACAAAAGCTAAAAGAATTCAAAAAAAAGAAGGAATCCTTATAATTCCTTTAATTTGAAAATTTTATTTTCTTAAAGAATTTAGAAGAATTCCTTTATTTCATGATCCTCTATTTCAAGATTCAAATTTTTTTCCAAAAATCAATTCATAAGCATTATCAACAATAAATCTTAAATGTCGTCCCCTATGATTTGCCACTCCCGATTACCCCTTTGAAAATAATCCTTTACAAAAGAACGTTTATTGAAAACCCAGCCAATACAATGGAACAACCAACCAATACCAGGGAGGAGCCAATCAATGCAATCGAGCAGCCAACCGCTGCAGTCAACAACAAAACAATGCAGTGGAGAAAGTAAGACAACGAAAAGTAACCCCCACAACTCGGGTAGCCGACCTTTGCAATGGAGCAGCCAATGTCTCCTGTTGCGTTGTGGTGTTCCCCATCTTGGTTCTTTTTCCAGAAGCATGACATTACATTCAAACTCTTGAACACCCTTCTTATTTGCCGAATGTCCAGCACTGGGAGGAACGAAGTGCCGGAATGCATGTGAGCATGCTTTATAGAAGTTAGAGCACCTTAGTGTTTCTCAACTCTGAAAAGGAGGATTAATACTAGTTAGACACACCTCTTCTTCTACATAGCCAGCCAACATACTGTTTATCTTCCGAGCACCATTCACAAGACTTCCGCAGCGGATCAAAGGGTGGTCACTTTTTTTCACACGTCTATCGGAGTTGCGGATGCGCTGCCACCTGCGCTTGGTGTCATCCACCTTACCGTGCACGCATGTTGGTCAATATGGCTTACGCACGGTATCCATGTAAGTTCGAATCCCTATAGGAGCTTGAAGAGAATCAAAGTAGATTGTTGTTGTATTCATGTTGGTTACACTCAGGTCCTCATGCACAAGTGGGGCTAGACCCTCCATTTTCGGCTCAACTATGAAAACCTCCATAAACTCGATTGGATGCCTGCTACTGTGTCGGATGACACAATACAGTAGGCTCCTGAAGCTACTGCTGTCAGAGCTTAAGAATTCATGAAGGTGAGCCCTTGTAAAGATCATAGAGACCATGCTGTACAAAGGATGCACGCTATTTTGACATGCTTACTTTTCATGCGAAACGACAAGCCATTGACATGAGAGAGACAATGCTAACAGGCACTAAAAGCACGACCTCCAACATTACCCCCAAGGTAAGCCAAACCCAGAGCTTGCTAGCGCCACAAGATATACAGGAAAACAACACTTGATTATTGTCATCTTTGGTGTCTTGAATAAATTGTTTGTTCTGGCACATGATGGCACACGGGAGACGCAAACAAAACACAAATAGGAAAAGGGTACCCTATCGATATTCGGGGATTGGCGTACAGCTACAGACCATTAGAAGCCGACAGTCGCACTTTAAGGTGGGCCCCCCTGTCGCCTTCCCAGAAGGCATGCAACATCAACACGCGATGGGATCTAAAAAGCTGTCTGATGCTCACATAACGGTGCAATGCAATGCAATGCAAAGCACAGCAGAAACAAACGACCACAAGTTAAATACCGCACCCCAAACCCTCCAAACCTCAAGCTGTAAACGAACCAGGGATAAATTTGCAGCAACGGGTAGGTCTGTGCCGGGTTCAGCTGTCGGGAGATGTCGGGAGTTCCACCCATCACGTGTGGCCACTGAAGGGTTTTCAGAATCGTTAGAGTTGGTGCATCTTCAGAAGCTGATTTGCGATCAGGCACTACAACTATTTGACCTCTTTGCTGTCTGAGGGGCATTTTGTTTTGCCGGAACCTGAGTCGGTGGCATCTTCATCATCCAAATAAGCACGCTAGGAACGATCAAGAAGTGATACTGATAACTGAGACAGACGCGAGAAGACCAGTCGCTCCTGAGCCAGGATATCTGCACCGAGAATAACCTGGCAGGCCAAGTGATCATTCATCTCAGATATCATCGTGGGCAGTGGCTCGATCTCGGCGCATTCAGGCCCCAAACATGCCGGCACAAACTGTGGGCCATTCTGTAAGCTTCATTTCCTCGCGAGGACAGATGCTTGCACCAGGGGTCAGAACGCACCATCGTCTCGTACAAGCACTGGTGCTTGCACTGGTGCATACTGGCGTTGTTGCCGTTGCTTTCTCAGCATTCGATATCCACTTTTAGCATAGCTGTCACTTCCTCAATTGCCACTTGCACTTCTGCACCAGTGATCTCAATAGGCGCAGCAAGAATCACTAATATAGCTGCTTGGACACTTTAGGTCGGTGCAATGCTTCTGCATACTGCAACTGCGACAACGGCGTGGAGGCTGCACTGTTCTGCTGGTACGATGGTTTATGATGCCAGGCTACTGATAAGTTTGGGGCTTCTAATGTGCCAATATCCGCTGTCACTGTCTTTCTATGCAGGGCGCATGCTGCTGTTGCTAATCGCACACATCTTTGTTTCCAATCTCAACCTGGGCAGAACATCCCAATCAACATCCTGATTGCAAGCTCGATTTCAGATTGTGGCAGGGTCGTTTCGGGAGATGTCTGTGTGGGAAGCGCGCAAGGTGTGGCAAAGCTCTGGCACCTTAATTACACGTCAACCCCCAACCCCCCAACCCCCGCAGGGCATCACCTGGAAGGGGTCCAAGTCGCCAGCCAAGGCTACTCCTGATCTGCACTCAGCTCAGGAGTCAGGTGTTGGGGTAGCAGGCAACAAACACAAAGCCTGTGGCTTTGAGTCACAAAGGATGCACATCGTTTGGAAGAGGTCGGGAGGCTTGTGAGGGATTTGCTCAGCTGCAGCACGTTTTCAACCTCAAGCAAGTTCTGCCAGTTTTCTCGGAATGTCATGTTACAAGGCGGTGGCGGGGCACCCCGAGCACGGTGTTGGCAGGCAAATTCTTCTGGAGGCTTGGCCAATCCCAGCGGCTCAGGGTTTAGGCCCGGCGTGCCAGCGTTAAAGTTTCGGGTGCAGGGGTCAGGCTTCAGGGCATAGGCTTGCTTCAGGGGCTTGGGTCAATCGTCTACGGCTGGGTGCACAGGGGGACTGCCCGCATAAACCTTTGTCTATACAAACAAGTTCGACCCTGCTCGCGCCTTGCCGTATCGCAAATCGAGGCCTTCAGTTCAGCAGCAATCAGTTTCATTTTTTTGTGAACCTCAAAAAACACAAGCCTTCAACTGTAATTACTGAACATTGCGGTAGGCTCCTTCGACACATGGTGGCATAAACATGAGATCTACTGAGAATCTACTGGTGCCGCATCTATGGCCCCGGCCCGTTTCCAATGCCGAAGGTGACAGGAACTTCCTGTGGCATCTTGCTGGACCTGCAAAGCAAAATGAACAAAAAGTTCTCTTATCTCGGCAAAGCACCCGTGCCCAGGCCTCTCTTTCTTGGATTCCCTGACAGTCAGGCCCTCTCCAAAGCCCGTGGACTTCTTTTTCTTCTGAGGCTGCTCCTGACCGACAAACTGACCGCTTGCCTTGACCCTGTGCCAGCAAAAAATCAGATGCGTTGCAGCGTTGCAGATTGCTGCGTGATTCTGGCATGGCATGGAGGCAAGACCCACTGATGCCTCGTGACATTCCGGACACAAGTCAGGCAACCTCAGCTCCTTTCAGCTCCCCTCGTCTTCGAATGTAGGATTTTATGCCATGACTACGACTTGAGGTTCGCAAACGCTTTTTGGATGAGCTCAGCTCGGCCTTCGATGGAGTGCCGCGTGCCCAAGTCCGTTGTTCAAACAGGAACACACAACATGCGCAAGCTTGCTCTTCAAGCTTGGCGGCAAATCACTCTATGTACATTCCTTTCCAACTTTTCAGAAGAGTCTTTCAATTCATCGGCGCGAAGTGTCGGGGCTGCAGCTTTGAACGCCTCTAAGCCTCCTCTCAGCTCGAAAGGCCGGAGCGGAGGTCTACTTGAGGACCTGAGCTCGAGAACCGACATCCCCCCCCTCGGGTCGATGGCTAGGTGGTGGTCGGGCCATCCTGACAGTCTTGTGTATCATTCAAGGGTGTCCTTGGGGATGTAGTAAGCAGCCCCTGGCGACGCAAAGTCAAGAGGTATTTTGGGGCTCTCTAGCTGGCAATTCCTTGGAGCGGCAAAACTTCTTTGTAATGATGCTGCATTGAGAATTACCGCGTTCCAACGCAGCCCAGCCGCATTTGGGCAGAGAAAACCGAAGCAAGACACTTCCTCCTTGACAATGGTGTACCTGGACAAACACTATGCTGGCACAACCGAACAAGACGTGCTTGCGGCAGCTTCTTTCGGAAAGGTTACATCCGGACTGCTTGCTTCAGGCCTTTTGCAGCATCTCACTGCTGCTTCATCTCTCTTGTCCCGACTACACAACACGTTGGGGCAGCTGTTTCACCTAAAGACGACCGGTGTAGTTCATCATCCAACCCAGCATTGTGACCAACACTTTGGCAGTCTTCTGCCAGGCTGCAGAGGGGCAGCGCCCGAACTGGGATTCGTTGAAATAGCGATATCAAAGAGCCCCGAAGCCTGCCAGGCTCGCCAGGCTCCAGCGCTGGGGATATGACTGCGACATACTATGACTCATGGGCGCCGTGGCTTTACACGGAACCTGCATGAGCACTGCCTGAACCCACGGTGATTCGAAACTCAGCCGAAGCACCTCGAAGTCCAACGTTATGGATTCGAGGGTGTCGCATTGCTGGTCCACTCCAGTCACCACTTTGTTCTTGCCTGAGTTGCACAAAAAGCTGCAGCACGCTTCAGCTGGTCATGCATTGTGATTCCGATTCTTTGAAAGTTGGAGCAGCAGCAGCAGCAGCAGCAGCAGCAGCAGCAGCAGCAGCAGCAGCAGCAGCAGCAGCAGCAGCAGCAGCAGCAGCAGCGGCCATGATGGCCAAGCAGAATCAACAGGTAAAAAAGATGCTAAGAACCCGAGCCCAATTGTGGTGATGGTGATCACACAGTACGCACACACAATCACACACACACACATACCACAGCTCAATTGTCCAGTCAAATTATCCACTTCTTCCGCTGCAAAATGCCACTTCGTCCCTCCCCTACCACTTTCTGTAACTTATCCATAGTCCTTTCAGAAAATCCAAGCGCGTGACCCAGAGCATCCACATAATAACAAGACCTCTTGCCCACCCTCGACGTGATTTACGCCAAAATCTGCACATTTCTTCCCCGCCTTCACCTGCTTACCGAAAGCAACGTTGTCATTCAACTGGAGTTCTCGAAACACTCCACTGAGGCCATGGCGAAAACCTGTGCAAAGCCGCGGTCGCCGAAGCAGAAGCTGCGGATCCGACAGTGTGGAAACGTCCGCATTTGTCGGCAGCGCAAACTCGAACTTCAGCTTGCTGGTGCACTTGTCCTTCTCCTCAGCTCCAGACACTGCGCCAGTGGCAGAGACCAGGCAGCTGCTATAATAACTGCGACATGATGTCCTGCTTAGTCTGCTTAGTCTGCTTAAACATGAGTGAGACTAGCCATTGAAAGCGGAGGCTCTCGAAAGACGTCGTTCTCCCCCACGCTCTCTACGCAGAACAATCCTTTGTTCAGGTCACTTCAGATATGTTGACATACGTGGGGCGGCTCGATTGGAATCAACTGCACATGTGCAGGCAGGGGTCGATCACCCACAGCGCGGTGTGCAGCTTGCCGGGCGCCGAACCTCGCAACCTGTCATAGGGTCGACTGGAAGCAGGCACTGCTGTATACTGCTGTAGCACCGAGCTCAAAGAGATCAAAATATGCAGAATACCTAAAGCATTTACACGCAACGGCTGAGAGTTATGTGCTCTTTTTGTCAGTGAATTTGCCCGGTCCCACCACGGTGAGATCGCCGCTGTCGCAATCCTTAACTGAGCAGGAAATCAACTTGTGGCTGCTTGTGCAAAGCATGCCACACTCACAATGTCCCAGGTCGACCGTGAAAGATACGAAAACTGCACCGAGTGCTGTCTTTAGGTCTGTCTGTCATTCCTCCACCCAAGTTCTTGCAAGCCAGGAGCGGCAAGCACAGATATTCGCGTTCGTTCCCGGATTCGATCCTGGCCAACGCAGACCTTGGGTGAAGCATCTTCAGTCAGTTAAGCCCTTGGTTACTGACTCGGCTTGATTGCCAATGAGATTGGTTCTTGAGCCCCGGCTCTTAGCAACATCAGTTACTCACCAGTCACCAGTTACGCACCACGTATTCACCATATTTGCAAGTCTTCGCCAAGCGGCGCTCAGGCTGGCCGTAGGCTCTGCTGGGTCGACTGGGCTGAAGCCTGGGAGAAAACAAGAGCTAAACTTAGCAGCTCAGCAATGATGTCCAGCTCTACTGCTGTGGCGGCAGTTGCCAACTGAGCGCTTCTGCCCCGAGAGTCGGCTTCATGAGTCCAACTCTCTGGCAGTTTGGCTGGTTTCCATCATGTTCACTACATCTCACCGAGTCTGCTCGGACAACTGCGTATGATTCGTAAGAACAGAGAGATGTACTACATTGGAAATATCAGATACCAACATACTATGACATACTCGCCGACTGCGGCAGACTTGTCCTTACAGGGCTCACTGAAGGTGACATGCCCCCTCCCGAGAGTTGCTATGAGGCAGCTAACGTCTTCGAGGGATCCTGGATGTTTGGACTGTGATAGCCAAGCCGCTCAGCTCCTGCTTGAAGCCGTCGCCCTCACCTCGGGATGGCCATCGATTGACCGCGTGCGAGCAAATTGGACCAAGCTGCCGTTTTCCCTGTTCTTTGGCCCCAGGCAAGTCAGAATTGACTGCAGCCAAGACAACTTGCACTATGCCGATTACAACACGGCAAACCCTACCGAAACCCAGCTTCCGCAGAGCCCCATAATAACCTTCAATTCAAGCCGTAAAACAGCTTTGAATCCTAACATTGCCAGGGTGGTTCCTGCCGAGGCGCAGGTCTTCTGTGGAAGGGCCTTGGAGAAGGAGGTCTCCTGCATGCGGCTCTATGTTGAACATCAGGGGCATCCCAGACATGTGCACACTACACGGGGTGTCGGAGAGATATTCAAAAAGCAGCATATTTCAGAAGCATCTTCAGGACTAACTACTGTATAAGTAACAGCTGTAGCGGTAGTCGACATGAAACTTCAGGACTGAGCTCGTCCTCTGACTGGCCTTTTCGCGTCCCGACACAGAAGGAAGATCCATCATTGGCGAAGAAAGTGCCTGGAGCTTCACTCGCCCACGGTGCATATTTCTCTCTCATCTTTCAACTGCTGAGCTTTCAGTTTCTTCCCCAAGCCTTCGAAGACACGTTTGCTGGCTCAGCTGTTGGGAAGCTGCACTCCTAATTCGCTTGTCGTTGTAATAGACGGCCGCTGTAATGTGTATCATGTCTCCGCTTTCCTTGTGTATATGGGGACTCTTCATATGATTTTTCGTATATGTTAGGGTCCCTTCTGGCCTGCCTCCGTGCAGCCACTTGAGCCCCTGCCAGGTTGCTGGGCAGCTGGTGCCTGTCACAAGCCGAAGAACCCTCTCCATGAAAGCCTTAACTTGGCAATTGGCAATCATGCTCCGCATGACCCCGACGGACAAATCGAGTTGACTTCCTGGTAGGGTTGAGAACTGCACATCTTGTCGGGCGCCTTTCACGAAGATCTGAGTCCAATGTTTCTCGTTGTCGCACCAGGACACAGCCTGCCAGAAGCATCATGGAGTTACATTTATAAAGCGAGGCACGAAGTGAACTGTGAACTGTCTGGAAAACGGACTTGATGTGAAGAAGTGTTCCGGTCCTCGCAGTCAAGAGGCCTTAACCTGCAAGCCTAGAGCAGCTAGCACAGGCAATCCACCTTTTGGAGTAAAGCGGACCTCTCTACCAAAAAGGCTCCAATGACACATGGGTAATCTGGAGGGCATCTCTTCAATTCTCGGCAGTTTTTGCTGAAAGTAAATCGTTATTTTTGTTTAGGGGCTCCGACTTGGCCTTGGTCCCTGGCTTCTGGGACGCGTAGGCACGCCAAAGACCGCCTTTCACCTCAGGCGCTCGCGAGGAATGTGGGCTGGGGTTTAGGGCATTAGGGGCCCACATAATAGGGCTTCTTGACGTTGATAGCAATCTGTGCTGGCTTTCGTCATGCCTGGCTCAAGATCTTGCTTCCGGCTTCCATAGGGTGGGAAAGGGCGTGACTCGTAGAGGATGTGTAAAGATCAGGGCAGCTGGCCTGATTCCAACCGCCGCCGCAACTTTCGCCCAGGTGAATGCTGTACTTTGGGCCTGCAGGGTTTGAGGCGCTGGCCTAATTTTGATGGCCTCCATAGTCTTCTGGTTTGAGTAACCGAAAAACCATGTGTATGTGATGGCGTTGCAGCTTGCGATTTTTGCAGCTCTGTTGAAGGAACGCAAGCCCAAGAAGGCCCTGAACACGAAAAGCTGTGTTTTTTCATGCCCGGTCCTTCATGCTTCCAGTTGGAGGTGCAAATACCTTAGTATACAATGGTGTCAGCCAAGGCTTGCCATGCTCAACGTTGTTCTTCGTGCTCTTTGACAAAGCAGTACGCTAGGGTCACGAGGGCATTGTGCACTGTCCT